TGTGCTTTAGCCCCATCCCCACTGGACTCCTCTCCCGAATCACCCGGAACAGCATCTGCCACTCCAGCAGGACTGTAATCTGGATCTATTTGGACTTTTTTTTGTGTTTCCCACGTCAGGTATTTCCCACACCAGATACTCTATCGGGGTCTGGGATTATTTGTTTCTTGTTTTTTTTTTTTTCCCTCTGTATCATTACCCTTGTAGTTTGCAATCTCTCAGTAAAGAACTGGTATTCCTATCCCCCTATCTTTGTCTGAAAGCCCCATAATTTCAAAGGTACAGCAGTTCGGAGGTGTGTGTGTGTGTGTGGAGGGGTTTACAGTCCCGTGTTCAAGGGAGGCTTTCCCCTGTCTTCTAAACCAAGACACACCGGCAGACTTTTTAAAAGGGATTCTCATTACCACTGGGAATTTGCTGTGTTTACGTAACATCAGCTAAAAAAGTGTGAAGCATAAGTCCACATAGAGTCCATCTGTGTCAAAACCTCAATTCATATACCACACCTAACACAATTACTTCACAGACAGAAGATGACAAACTATGAGGAGGAAGACTGTAACCTCCCTGACAGCTAAATTAGCAGCTGTGTGCCTATTAGAAACATATTCCTTCTCTAAGTACTTTCTCCTTTGTATTCCTTATCTTCAGGGATTAAGAAATGCCTCTAGCTGGGGAAACACTCAGAGACTGGTGTTTAACCAGCCTCCCAAGGGACAACTGCAGCCTAAAAATCTACGTACTACTGTCGTGCATAAAGTAACCCAGGCAAACTCTGACAACCCAGGCAAAGGCTCCATTTCCAGAGTTATGAAAGCAGCACACACACCTTTCTTTCATGTCTAAACAGTTCCCTCTTTTAATGTAAAACTTTACATTAAAACTATAAATTATATATGAACACTATGAATTTAGAAATGAAGAATCAAAATGACACTTCATGATTGTTTTAAAATAACTCTTGGAAAATCACATACTAAACACATCTCCAGCGATTTCAACAGGTTTAACTACTGCATATATATTTCACGTAGGACTCTACCAGGTAACATGAAATCATAGCTAAACATCAATGTTAAAAAAGCAAGTGAGGCCAAAGAACTACAGGTCATTTAAGAGAATCCAATGAAATCAATGATACTTACCGAATGAGCAAGGATTCCCTGTTGTAGCAGACAGATGCGCATATGCTGCCTTAAACATTTCTTGGCATTTTACAAAACCCCAGCTTGGTCAAAAACAAGACCTGGGCGGGACATGACACCTGTGTAAATTACAACAGCAGAAAGAGGTTTGCAAATTGCATGGATTTTCAATTTTTTTTTAAAAGTGTTGTCCTGGTTTCTGTTTTATTTCACAAAAGTGAATGAAAAGCAGCCTGAACATGAGGCAGTTTTGTAAAAGAGGTTCAGGCCTTGCAGTACATCACATTTTAACTTCTCTCCCAGCTTAGTTCCTTCTAAGCACACTCTGAACTTGGCATCCGTTTCCTGGTTCTGGGCTTCAGTGAAAAGATTTTTCCAGTCTCCAACAACACCTGAGATACAAAGAAAAGTAAAATATTACCCTTGTCTATAAGGACCAAGGAGTATGTTTTAAAACAAAAAAAATACATTGTCTCTCTTATATTTCAGGATAATCCTTTTTTTTTACCCCTGCAATAAAAGAATCTCTGACCCAACAATACATTCTTAGTTTGCTTTATGTTTGGCGCCCTCAGTAGAATGTGAACATAAAGTGAACATAGGAAGCTACTGGTCTGCCTTCACAGCTTTGGCATGTGCCTTGTGCAGCTGGCACATGCCAACTGTTGAGAAACCAACACAGAAAGTTCAAAGATTTGGCTTTTAACTATAAGAGCTTTCATAGAATCATAGAATGGCCTAGGCTGGAAGGGACCTTAGAGATCATCTAGTCCAACCTCCCTGTTTTTGGGCAGGGACGCCACCTCTCGACTAGACCAGGCAACACATGGGGACCAAGCGGGAATTGAACCCGCGACCTCGGTGTTGGTCCTTGTTGCCAACACCGCACTCAAACCACTGAGCTTTGTGCACTGCAATCAGATACTGCCCTAAGACACAGTCTACTTTTAACCTAGATTTTGGAGAGTCAGCAGTCTGAGGTTGTCTGACTCTGCAGCTCTATCCCAATCGATGACTAGAAGACAGATCAATCAGTGTAGTGCCCGGATTCCACATTTTGACAGAGGTTCAGAGGCAATCACAAGACTTATTTAGAAAACCCAGGAAGAAACATCTGTGGAGGCACTCAGGCTATACCTGGTACTCGTAGAAGCTAAAATAAATATTTTTTTTTGTTTTATCTGGCACTTACTGCATACCACAGCTGCAGGGTGTGCTACTTGTAGGGCACTTCTGCCGATCACATTATACAGGGCTTTACCAAATGGTGCTGTCCCTTCTGATGAAATTGAGTGACTGACCTGAAGCACAACCAGTGCTTCTTAAACAACTCCCAACCCAACCTTGAAAATTATACAGAAAGATTGACCACCCACTGACCCAAATTCCTGTGTGCCCAAGACGCAGCACTATGATTCACCATCCGGGCAAAATATAAATTTATCTTTGCGGAAAAGAAATGAGCGAACAGCACCACGAGTCTCCTGAGCCTTATCCTTCACTGCTCAGAAAGTGGCCCTGTCTGCAACAGCCTGGATCTGCTTCGCCATTGGGGAGAATCCAAAGAATTCAGCTATCTGCTTTACACTGGCAGTCAGGTTCTGAAAGCAATACAGTGAAAGAGAGACATGAAATATGCTTCCTCTAAAAACAGGAGTTACTCACTTGGGAAAGCCACCCTCTATTAAACAATGTATTCTTTTCTTTCACAGGATGTTTTCTGCATTACACCAAAGCTCAGCTTTTTTATAGTCAGACTGAACTTGATGCTAAAATCAACTTGATTTTGCTCTTTCGGAAACCTGTGCATTTTGCTGTTAATTTCAGCAGATTCCAAGAAATGGGCTCAGACGTGTTTTACCTGTGAGTACACATCTGCTTTACATCTGTTTTCATATATTATGGTCATAATATTCTCATCCTCAATGTGTTTCTTCCAAATGACAGCATGATCAAAATAAGATCTCCAGGTGACTGTAAGGAAGAGAAAAAAGCATCAGTGTGACCTTTTCTTACTGGGTACTTGTTTCTCTCTGACTGAAGAATTGCCTTCTGTTGCCTGTTGGCTACATCAGTGCAAACAAATGGCAAAGTCTGTCCTTTCCATGGTACTGTACTGTCCCACAAAATAACAGAGGCCTCCTCTATGTGCCTTCCCTCTACCACTATATTGTCATTTAAACATCTTTTAAAAGTCAAAACCAGACATCAGTCTAAACCTAAAATCCAGGCTACTGATGACGGGTGCAGAAACAGTAAAGACAATAGTCATTTCATTATCACTTCAGATCTGTAGCATTTCCTCCATCACTAAGTGGCAGAATTTTGACCTGATGCCATTGTCAAGCTGCCATGCAACCCCTTCACCCTTGCCTGGAAGAGCAAAATGCCCAGAAGCAGAGCATCTTTGGACATTCTCTCTATTCCAGCATTCAGCTGCCTCCTTTATCATGATCTATGGCCATCAGTAAACTAATTATGACACAGCTGTTTTCCCACTGGCCCCATTTGGTCATTTTTAATTTTTATTTTTATTTCTGTTACTTCTTCAGTTACATTCAGTAACTATAACAATACCTTTCCCATTCATGAACTCTGAGAAGAACTCATCCCAGGAGCTGTAAGTGGGGACGCTTGGTGCATTGCTGAGGAAATGGAAAAATGAAACAGCTGTATCTTTAGGGTTTCAAAACAGCCCTAGTATCTGGAGTGGAAGAAAGAAGTCAACAACTTTAGATCACTCATTTCCCCTGGCAACCAAAGTAAGAGTACAACCAAACATTCTGCAATCAATAACATACTTGGGGTTATAAAATATTGTATTAGTTAAGGCATGGAGAACGAATTTATAACGTGATCCTAATAAAGGCCTTGTTGCCACTTCTAAGATTTGCTTATATCACGAAGCAATTGTAGAAAGCAGCAACTGGAGAAAATTGTAATACTGACACTGAATACTATCACATAACTACCTAAGACCTCGGAAATTATTAGGAACCATTTGCCAAAGCTCTGCTAGGAAAAGCTCTGTTTGACTCTCCTTCAGGAAACCACAGCTGTGATAATCATCTCCCATTTTTCAAAGCATGGCAGTAATGTATTTGAAATCCTAAGAGACTGTAATCCTCAGAGAAGTGTAAACACCTCCAAAAACATGCTATAAACATTATTTTTTTTTTCTTGTACACACTGTAATTCATCCTGTCTCATACAGGTAAAAATATCAATGAAACACGGAAAAAATCCCCACTCCTTAACCAATTATTTCCTTCATCTGTGGTACATCTCGTAAGTGCTACGTATGTGCCATTATTCAGTGGCCAACTACCAGAAATATTAAAGTTTTAGCAGCGTGACTCTTTGCAAGGAGACAGTCAATATCCTAGAGATACTGTTGCCACACGCATTCCCACCACAGCTGTGTGCAGAAAAGAGTAGCGCAAAAGAGGAAATGGTGACACTCCAGCCATTTCTGAGCACTGCAACAGCCTCTAGATCTGTTCTTGTTCATGTCAACTGCAGCAGCCCTAGGCGTCATGGGACATCCACTGTCTCCAAGCTGCTTTCCCCCGGTGCCACCTGCTTGGGCACAAGGGAGGGATGTGGCCCCAAATCACTCTTGCATGCTGGTACTGTCAGAGAGATGAGGTTTGTTCTTTAAAAAAGAAAAAAGCCGACCTTGGCTTTGTTCTTGAAAATAGACTTGGGAAGGCAATCATAATTCAGATGTGTTGCCAACATCCTTGGAGCCTGAATCTGCTTCATTCTCTTTAGAAATAAACAGAACCGTAAGTGAGAACAGGTTTATTACATGGGTGCAGCAATGATCTGTGAGTTGCTTGTGTGAAACAGCCCCTAACCAAAAGACATTACTCATCCAAGATTATCTTTTTTCCCCTCTCAGGAGAAATATCTTTACTTGCTGCATGACTTCATTTTAATAACTTGTGGGGGGGGGTGTAGGAGAGAGAAAACAACAGACTTTAAGTGGTTCAGTAGCTTCTTTTCACTAACCTGATATTTATCCAGATCTCCACATTCAAAAAATGGTAGTTCTGTGCTTACAGGTTTACTCTGAATAGTCATAACTATCAAACCACTTAAAATCTGGACAAGTCAGTTCACACCTGCACCAAGAAACCCAGAGAATAAAACATAATAGAGGTTTATGTAAGATCTTAGAGCCTCCTCATTATGTGGCTTAACTCAGTATAATAGCCAGTCATCAAATGAAAAACAACACTAAAGCTCTCAAATTATTACAAACAAAGTTGCTGCTTTCTACAATTGCTCCCTAACTGCAACCTTATTGGCTCACTTATGTGAGCACTGGGGGCAGAACTGATTCAATGATGCACTTAATGTCTTTATTATGAATAAAATGGTGACAGACAATAAAGGCAGCTTTCCTGGCTTTTACATGAAAACATATGGGAAGGGTCTGGACAGGAGCAGAAACGAACGAGCAAGAAGCTTTGCTCATTCTGCCAAGGAAAGCATCTGCCTCTCTCCACTGCCTTGGGTCAAGGACAAAATGGAGTCATCTATTCAACGTCACTGCCAGTGCTTGTCCTCAATTGTGCCTGTTGCTGTCTTCACAAAGCACAGGCCAGAAGGAGTGCTAAAAGAGCTGTTACCCACAGGACACCTGCATCCCCGACACCTCTCACCCGCTGGAAGGAATCTTGCAGCAAAGCCTCCCCCATGCCGCATCTCGTTCCAGCACGAGCCTGGAGCCAGCTCCTGGAGCTGCGCTGTGGTGCCTGACTCCCCAAGGTACCCAGGAATCACATTTGCTCCACTGATGCTTTGCCGATTGCTGGCAGGACAGAGCGAGGGAACAGCATGTTCACCTTGGCCTGCAGCACCCTTCCCGCAGTCCTGTGGGGAGGCACCTGGAAGGCTTCCACCAGGCCCACGGAAATAGAGCTGTGGAGCTACTGCTGCCTCCTGCAAGCTGCAAGTCCCTTGTGAACACAGCTGCCAGAGGCACTAACAGAGAACACATAACACAAACAGCTTGAACCTCTCAGGCTTTCAGTGGAAAAGTATTCCCAAAAAGAAGTAACTTCCACACTGTGTCATATAAAGTGCCTTAGGATGCTTGGATAGAAGCAGCTGACATATGTCATATTTATTGTCAAAATAAGACATCATACAATGTCTTACAGTACATACAAATACTACATTTTACATTAGTACAAGAAAGATATGGACGTGCTGGAGTGTGTCCGGAGAAGGGCCACGAGGATGATCAGAGGGCTGGAGCATCTCTCCTATGAAGACAGACTGAGAGAGTTGGGGCTGTTCAGTCTGCAGAAAAGAAGGCTCCAAGAAGACCTTATTGTGGCCTTCCAGTATCTCAGGGGGGCCTACAAGAAAGCTGGTGAGGGGCCTTTTACGATGTTGGGTAGTGGTAGGACTAGGGGGACTGGATTAAAACTAGAGATGGATGAGTTCAGATTGGACGTTAGGAAGAAGTTCTTCCCCATGAGGGTGGTGAGACACTGGCACAGGTTGCCCAGAGAGCTGGTGGAAGCCCCATCCCTGGAAGTTTTTAAGGCCAGGCTGGATGGGGCTCTGAGCAACCTGATCTAGTGGGAGATGTCCCTTCCCATGGCAGGGGGTTGGAACTAGATGATCTTTAAGTTCCCTTCCAACCCTGACAATTTTATGATTCTATGATTTATACACCACCCAATGTCATACTTATATAAGATGTTCCATCACCTTTCCAGGGATGGAGGTGAGGCTGACCGGTCTATAGTTACCCGGGTCATCCTTCCTGCCCTTGTAGACTGGGGTGACATTCGCTTTCCTCCAGTCTTCAGGCACCTCTCGTGTTCCCCATGACTTACCAAAGATGATGGAGAGTGGCCTAGCAATGACTCCCACCAGCTCCCTCAACACCTGCGGGTGCATCTCATCAGGGCCCATGGATTTATGGATGTTCAAGTGTTCAGACAGATCCCTAACCCAGTCCTCCTCAACCAGGGCAAACTCCTCCTTTACCCTGACTTCCTCTGGGGCCTCAGGGGACTGAGGTACCTGAGGACAGTCTCCAGCAGTACAGACAGAGGCAAAGAAGGCATTCAGTAACTCTGCCTTCTTTCTATCTTCTGTCTCCAGGGCACCCACCTCACTCACCAGAGGGCCTACATTGCCTCTAGTGTTAGTTTTGCCGGCAATGTATTTGAAGAAGCCCTTTCTGTTGTCCTTGACCTCCCTCTCAAGGTTTAATTCCAAGGAGGCCTCAGCTTTTCTGATTGCCTCCCTACATTCTCTGACAGCAGTCCTATACTCCAGCCAAGTGGCCAGCCCTTGCTTCCGAAATTTCTATACCCTCCCCTTCCACCTGAGTTTTCCCAGCAGATCCCTGGTTAACCATGCAGGTCTCCTGGACCTCTGTCTTGATTTCCCACCTGTTGAGACGCACTGATCCTGAGTCTGCAAGAAGTGGTCCTTGAATACTGACCAACTCCTCTGGGCCCCTTTACCTTCTAGTACCCTGTCCCATGGGATTTCCCCTAGCAATTGCCTGAAAAGGCCAAAGTTAGCCCTGCTGAAGTCCAGTGCTGAGATCCTGCTTGGTGTTCTATTCCTATGGCACAAGATCCCGAACTCCACCATCTCATGGTTGCTGCAGCCAAGATTTCCCTCAACCTTCACTGCTTCAACCAGACTTTCCTTGTTGGTGAGCACAAGGTCCAGCAGCGCTCCTCTCCTGGTCAGCTCATTCACCATTTGCATCAAGAAATTATCATCAATGCACTGGAGGAACCTCCTGGACTGAGGATGGCTGGATGTCTAGGCTGCGTAGGCCTTCCAGCAAATATATAGGTAGGTGAAATCCCCCATGAGAACCAGGGGCTGTGACTGAGAGGCTACTGACAGCTGCATGTAAATAGCCTCATCAACTTTCTCCTTCTGATCAGGTGGTCTCTAATAGACACCCGACACAGTATCACCTATGCTAGCCTGCCCCTTAATTCTTACCCACAAATTCTCAACATGAACTAGTTAGTTGTTTATTATTTTTATCACTGCTCCTGTTGCACCTTTTCTCCTTTCTGCAAACCCCTGACTAAAAGATTTAGACTTCTGGTATGTCTAAAGCAATACTGTTGTGCAGTAATGAAACAGAAAGCAATGCTCATACTGAATGGTGCCAAGAAACAGCTTATAATTTTGCAAGCAAAGATGCTGTGCCATGTCACTTTCTACACCTTAAAGATCCTAATGCATAACTTCGTTGCTTTTGTAAAGAACACTACACATTATATTACTAATACGCTTTTCAGAATAGTTTCTCATATTGGCAGAGTTGTCTTGTCCCACTGATATAAAGAATTATGTACTTTTTATTCTTAGTTCTTCCGCCAATAATATCTTTGAACACTAAAACTTCTTTTCATTTCAGAAACAAAAGCTGTATTAAAAAAGCAGTGCAACAGGCTGCTTAACTGCAGGACAAAAACCTGCTGCCTCTGGTTGTAGCAGAAATGCCCAATGCACAATGTACAACCACACGCATTGCTTCTTATCGTGTCAGCTCATTAGTTACAGTATTCTAGATGACAGCAAGCAATTTATAACATATTCACCGCATTTGGAGTAGGACACCAGCACCATATCATCTCATCTGGCTTACAGGTTCTCCAGGGCTTGGAATGTTTCCACACTGCACACTGTGACAGGATATAGGGTCCCCTGGCAAGAGAACAGCAGATCCTCTGAGCTAAGCCTTTCAGACTTTGCAGAAGCTTTTTTTATCTCTCATCAGCAAAGGCTTCTTTATCCTCAGCCATGTTCACCACCTCTGGGGTGTGAGTCCACTGGATAGTCCACTGCAGCAAGTGCCTTTAAATAGGTATTTCTAAGAGGTGGAGTAGAAATCCTTGGCATTACCTCTGCCCTCCCCTGAATTTAATACGTTTCTTTCGCTCCTCCCTTCCCACCTTCCAAAATGATCCTGTCCACTCATAACCTACAGAGCAGGAATTGCTTTATTAAGAAACACCAGTGAGAGCAAGTAACACCTGCAGACTCAGGCACCAAGGAAAGCAGAATTGCAAAATGAATCACTCCTTAAGCATGAGCAGCAAAGTTATTGTATCTAAACTTACCTAACATTAACAGGGGGGAAAAAAAAGGCAACTCATGAAAGAGTCCCTAATGACAAAAAATCCAAGCTGTTTTATTTTGGCAATAAAGTCAGACCCATGAGTTAAGAGACAGTGAATAATACAAAAAAATGAAATCAAACCCATAAAACAGAAAAGAACAACACTGACTGGGGAGGGATGCTGTCATTTTAGGTTGCAAATACCTCCTGTGGAAGCTAGTCTGCACTAAGGCCCTTTTTAACATTAAAAAGACAATTAAAACCCGAGATCTTCCATGACACAGGTTATTTCCTCATCCTCACAACAGAACTATGATCCCCTTTTAGCAGCCATAAGCCCTTATG